TCTGGGCCTGGCGCAGTGGTGCAGCGGTTAAGGTCCTCGCCTTGCACACCCGGGATCCCATATGGGCGCCAGTTCTAATCCCGGCAGCCCCGCTTCCCTTCCAGCTCCCTGCCTGTGGCCCAGGAAAGCAGTGGCGGACGGCCCAAAGCCTTTGGGACCCTGCACCCACGTGGGAGACCCGGAAGAGACTCCTGGCTTCGGATCGGCATAGCATCAGCCGTTGCGCTCACTTGGGGAGTGAATCATCGGACGGAAGATCTTCCTCTCTGTCTCTCCTCTCTGTATATCCGCCTTTCCAAAAAAAAAAATAATAAAAATAAATCTTTAGAAAAAAACCAAATCTGTCTTTCCAATATATATTTTAAAAAAGAGAGAGATAGAAAGAAAAGGAAAAAGGAAAGAATGAAATACGGACACGTCACTGGGCCACCTCTGTCCACTGCCTTCAGCGCCCCCTGCTGGCTGCCCTCGCCAACGACCCTCTTCTTCCCCACGGAATCTGCGTGAACTTCCAGGGTGACAGTAATTCCTGGGTGCTCCCTGGCCTTCATCACCACTGATGGCATCCTGGGGCGCATGTGCCCACTTCTCCCGCTTGGACCGTTCCCGGCTGAGCCCTGGAGAAGCCCCTGCTGCCCTCCCACCCCCTCCGGACCTGCCCGGTTCTGGCACACAGCACAGGGCCCGTGTCTGGAATCTGACGTGGGGTGGTGGTTTGAGTTGAGTTGAGTCCTGGCTGCTCCACTTCCCATCCAAACCTCCCGGTCTACGGGTTTGGGAAAGCAGTGGAGGCTGGCTCAGGTCCTTGGGACCCTGCACCCACGTGGATCAGCTCAGTTCTGAATGAGCTTTGGATGAGCTTTGGATCAGCTCAGTTCTGAATGGGGCACCAATGGAGGGCTGAATTTCTCTCTCTCTGTAACTCTGTCTTCCGAATCAATAAATAAGGCAAGCAGACCTTTAAGCCCGGCCCTCTTGGGGTGGGCGTTGGTGTGCGCAATGCTTGCGGTGCCTGCCTGTCATACCGGAGTGCCTGGGTTCAAATCCCGGCTTGTGCACTTCCCATCCGACTCCCTGCTCATGTACACTCCACAGCTCACGGCTCCGGGGCTTTGCCCCTGCCACCCGCATGGGGGATCTGAATGGAGCTCCTGGTCCTGCTTTAATATGGCCCAGTCCTGGCTATTATGTCCATCTGAGCAGTGGACGAGCCTCTGTCACTGTGGGGGACAAGCACATAATTATATAAAACATGAAAAAGAAGGGAGAGAAAAAAAAAAAGCACCCCAGCACAGGGTTGGTGTCATGGGCACAGTTGGCTGCGATGCTCCCATCCCATATGGGCGCTGGTTCTAATCCCGGCAGCTCCACTTCCCATTCAGCTCCCTGCTTGTGGCCTGGGAAAGCAGTGGAGGATGGCCCAAAGCCTTGGGACCCTGCACCCGTGTGGGAGACCCAGAAGAAGCTCCTGGCTCCTGGCTTCGGTTCAGCTCAGCTCTGGCCACTTGGGGAGTGAAGCAGTAGATGGAAGATCACTCTCTCTCTCTCCCTCTCTCTGTCTCTATCTCTCTGCTTCTTTCTCTCTGTAACTCTTTCAAATAAACATAATGAAACCTTATTTTAAAAAAGCTTCATTTATTTATTTGAAAGGTAGTTATGGTAGGGAGAGGGAAGCACAGAGACTTCCACTCCCTAAATGGCCGAAGGCTGGAGCTGTACTGGTCTGAAGCCGGAAGCCAGGAACTCTAGCTGGGTCTCCCACGTGGCTGCAGGGCCCCAGTTACTCGGGTCGTTTTCTGCTGCTTCCCCAGGTGCATTAGCAGGGAGCCGGATGGCAAGTGGAGCAGCCGGGATTCAAACCGACTCCCACGTGGGATGTCCAATGCAGCAGGCGGCAGCTTTGCCTGCTGTGCCATGGCACTGGCCTCTGCCGTGTGTTACTCTGAACTCACACCCCCAATATGACAGCTTGTTCCCCTATATTCTGCACCCCGAGAAGTCCAGGCTGCTGTTGTCATCACGCCCCCGGCTACACTCCCCCCAGCTCCCGTTCTCTCTCTCCTCCCCTTTTCACTCATAATCCCACCTGCATGATGGGTGGAGGGGATTTATTTTTTCCCCTCCCGATTTTGAACTTGGCATTTGACATGCACTGGAATAAACCCACAGCTTTCTGCTGAAGCTGACGGTCGTGTGCGGGAGCGTGGTGCAGGCACTAAGGCGCTGCCACCCTCACACCACAGCATCTGGGACGGGGTCCCATTTCCATCCCTGACCCCAGCCACCTGCTAGCGGCGATTTTCCGCTCCCCGCCACCCCCCGTGGGATACCCTGATGGGAGTTCTGGGCCCGTGGATTCAACACGGTCTCAACATGGCTGACGTGGGCATTTGGGACTGTACCAGCGGGTGGGACATATCTTTTCTGCTTTGCCTTCATGCTTTTCAACAGAAATAAGTGGCAGCATCCCATATGGGTACCAGTTTGAGTCCCGGCTGCTCCATTTTCCATTCAGCGCCCTGCCAGTGCACCCGGGAAAGCAGCGGAGCATGGACCAAGTGCTTGGACACCTGCACCCACGTGGGAGACCTGGAGGAAATTCCTGGCTTCTGGCTTTGGATCCATTCCAACCCTCGTAGCCGTTGAGGGAAGGCACTAGCGGATGATACATCTCTCTGTCATCGCCTCGCCTCTGTCTCTTAACTTTTTAAACAAACCATGCAAAAAAATAAATTAATAAAAAAAGTCAAAGTGGCAAGTACAGCTGAGAACTTTCCATGGAACCTGGGAGTCAGGGATTGGAAAGTGGGTGGCAGAGATTAACACCAAAGCGCCACCCCAGAAGCCAAGCTGCCTGCCTCGGCCAGCGGAGCCCTCACCATCACACTCTGGCCCCTTTCCCAGCTCTGGAACATCAACCACTCACTGCCCTTGCAGAGGCAGGCGGGACCTGAGGGTGCATGGGTGGGTGGGGGTCAGGGCCGGACTGCAGAGCCGAGAACCACCCCCCACCCCCCCAGGTGCGTGCCCACTCACCATGGCGAAGAGGTTGTCATAGCCTTTGACCTTCGTGGGCACTTTGGAGAACTTTTGGTCAAAAGCGTCGGAGATGTTGTGAGCTGGGTCGGTGGAGATGATGAGCACGCTCTCCCGCCCCTTGGACAGCTGGACCGCCAGGCTGCAGCTGGACCAGGCAGAAGGAATGGCATGGGGAGTAAGGAGTGGACTGTACTGCAGCCCCTCAAACCCACCCTCCTCCCACCACCACCACCACCACCACCACCACCACCACCACCAGGAGCAAGGCAGGCACGAGGGCCAGAAAGAGTCGTCTTTAGCCACTGGTAGCGCTCAGCGTAGGTTGATGCCATCAGCCTTGCAGCGGTCTTTCTCCTAGCTGACAACAGTCCAGTCTGATCCTGCGCAGCCCTGTCCTCCTCCTCCTCCTCCTCCTCCTCCATTTGCTCTCTCCCCATCCCACCCCCGGCCTCTTGCACACTCGCCGACGGGCTAGCAGACAAACAGCCGGGCTCACCAGGCCGCAGGCTGCTTGTACACCTGGCTGTCCCTCAGCCTCCAGGTCCGGCTGCCCACAGGTGGACATCATCCAGACAGGCGCTGCTTCCCACCCAGCAGCACCCAGCAGCACCCAGCAGCACCCCTCCACCTCCTCTTTCCCTGCCTCGTGCGCTGGCTTTGGAGAGCCCCCCCCTGCAAGCCCTCCGCGACTCCGAGGGTGCCAGGGGAGGCGTCCAGGGTCGCAGAGAACAAACCTGAACAAGACTTTGCCCCGGCCTGCTCGGCGAGGACGACGGGTGCGTCCGTCCGTCCGTCCGCCCGTCCCCTCCTCGTTGCCTGCCCCTCGGTGCGGCACCACGCCGCGGCCTCCTCACCTGCACGTCGTCTTGCCCACGCCGCCCTTGCCCCCGACGAAGATCCACTTGAGGCTGCGCTGCTCGATGATGTTGCTGAGCGTGGGCTCCAGCGGCTCCACGTCGGGCGCGTCCTCGAACTCCTCCGCCTCGGCCCCCCACCCGGCCGCCCCCGCCGCCATCTTGGCACCGGCTCACGTGACCGGGCGGAGCGTCCCACGCGGACGGCACCCACGGGGGTGGGGAGCGTCGTCGAGGCCTTTCCCGCTCTGAGGGGACCAGACCGAACCCGTCTTCCCCTGGGTCGCCTTCAGCGACGTCAGGGAAGCTGTCCCGTCGCCCTTTCTGGCTTTCAAGCTTCGCCGCGGCAGCTTCCTGTCTAAATGCCTTTACTGCTCCCCCCTCCCCTGACTCCTGGAGCTATTGGTACGACCCAGACGCCTCCCCTCCATTGATTGGGCCGTGAGTCTCGCAGTCGTCCTGTCATTGGCTGCCGCTTTCTTGACTCCGACCAATCCTGCTCGCGTCGCGGTCGCCGCCGGCCTCTCCTTAGCAACCGGCCAAACACCCGGTCCAGGCGTTGGAGATGAACTCGGCGCCCCGTCCCCCCATAGGCTGTCCTTCACGTCCATCATCTCCCTCCTTCTGTGGGAGCCCCGCCCCCGCTGTGCTCCAATTGGCTGTGAGCCGCCTGGCTCTGGCTACGGACCAATCACAGACGGAGGCATGAAGGGCTCGGGTGCCGAGACGGAGTTGGTGGGGTTCGCAGCCCCCCATTCCGGCTGCGCGGGGACTTTAGCCGGCGACTTCTGCCGCCTGAGCCCCTCTGACCCGCGGCCCCGGGTGTCGGGTGCGAATCCCAGTCCTTCTCACCCCCATTTTTCAAAGAGCACTGCCAGCCCGTCGCTGGAACCCCAGTTTATGGTGGCTCTCCTCCTTCCGGGGTTAGCGAAGCCTGTAGGTCTCCTAGCAACCCGAGACACGCACCCGCAAGGGGGCGGGGCGCCATCAAGCCACGCCCACGCGACACGCCCATCCGCGCGGCGCCCCGCCTTAAGTGCGGACGCGCCTCCCGGCATGCATTGCTCGGGACGGAGCGCCAAGCGCGGGGTCGGAGCGGCCTTCCCGGAGTCCTTTGCGCGGCACCTGGCGACAAAATGGCTGCCCGAGGGAGACGGGCGGAGCCTCCGGGCCGGGAGGCACCGGGCCCCGCGGGCGGCGGCGGGAGCGGGAGCCGGTGGGCCGAGTCGGGGCCGGGGACGTCTTCGGAGAGCGGAGACGAGGAGGTGTCGGGCGCCGGCTCGAGCCCCGTGTCGGGCGGCGTGAACCTGTTCGCCAACGATGGCAGCTTCCTGGAGCTGTTCAAGCGGAAGATGGAGGAGGAACAGCGGCAGAGGCAGGAGGAGGAGCCGCCCCCGGGCCCTCCGCGACCCGATCAGCCGGCCGCCGCCGCGGGTTCCGGGGATCCGAAGAGGAAGGGCGGCCCCTGCTCCGCGCTGAGCTTCGTAAGGAGCCGCGGGGATGGGGACGGGCTCCGGGGCCCGCTCGGGCCGGACTGTGGGGGCTGCAGGGGGTCGTGGGGGCTGCAGGGGGTCGTGGGGGCCGAGGGGCGTGCAGGTCCGCCCGGGCCGGACTGTGGGGGCTGCAGGGCGTGCAGGTCCGCCTGGGTCGGACTGTGGGGGCTGCAGGTCGTGCAGGTCTGCCCGGGCCGGACTGTGGGGCCTCAGGGGGTCGTGGGGGCCGAGGGGCGTGCAGGTCCGCCTGGGTCGGACTGTGGGGGCTGCAGGTCGTGCAGGTCTGCCCGGGCCGGACTGTGGGGCCTCAGGGGGTCGTGGGGGCTGCAGGGCGTGCAGGTCCGCCTGGGTCGGACTGTGGGGGCTGCAGGGCGTGCAGGTCCGCCTGGGTCGGACTGTGGGGGCTGCAGGGCGTGCAGGTCCGCCTGGGTCGGACTGTGGGGGCTGCAGGGCGTGCAGGTCCGCCCTGTGGGGGCTGCAGGGGGTCGTGGGGGCTGCAGGGCGTGCAGGTCTGCCCGGGCCGGACTGTGGGGGCTGCAGGGCGTGCAGGTCCGCCCTCTGTTCTCCCGGGGACCCCCACCCCACCTCGCTCGCTGGGACACTGCCATCCGAAATACTGGGGGTCCCTCCCCGGACGTGCGGGTTCCTGGGGGTCCTTCCCTGGAAGTGCGGGTTTCTGGGGGACCCTGAGGGTTTTTTTTTTACCTTTTTGGCTGTCAGAGCCGTGGGGTGGGAGCGAGGAAAGGGGTGACATCTATGGGTAAAGGGCAGGGATGCCACCCCTTTCCTACACGGGAAACCAAACACACACCCCTCTCCCCACCACCACCCACCAAACGGTCCAGCTCTGAATGTCACCAGTGTTTGGCTGAGGACCTGGGGGGGAGGGTGGAAGAAGCGGGGTCCCCTGTCTAGGTTGGCAGTTGGGCGCTGTGTCTTTGTGGAGGGGAAAGGGCGCCCTTGAATTCCCACTGTGACAGGCCGGCGGGGCCAGCGTCAGGTGCTGGGGGTCCCTCCCTAGATGTGCGATTCGGAGGAGGGGGTTACGGCATACGTGACCCGACCCGCCGTGCCTGCTGGTTAAGGATGCGACCCTGGTGGCTTTAAACCCTGTGTCACATGGCGTGGTCTCCTCAAGGACTCTGGGTACCCCTCTGTGTAAGCTTCCCACTTCGCAGTGGGAACTGGAACCCAGAGGAAACAGCCCCAGCTCTTGGCACCCAGTAGGTGTCACTTAGTCCAAGGTTCACTGTTAGGGCAGGGGGCGGTGGGCACAGAGGGCAGGGGTGATGGGCACAGCCCGTGTCCCTGTCGGGGCAGGGGGCGGTGGGCACAGCCCGTGTCCCGTTAGGGCCAAGGGTGGTGGGCACAGCCCGTGCTTACCATGGCAAGTTCTCTTCTGCCCTGGAGGGCACGCCCGGGCCCGGGGACTTGGCCTGGGCAGTGGCGGGCCCAGGGCAGGTGCTAAGAGTCCGGTGTGCCCCTCTCTGATTGCTGCGCAGGTCGGCGGCGTCGGGAACGGGCCAACCGGGCCGGGCTAGGAAGGTGGAGTGGGCCTCGGCGCCTCCCAGGCGGGCCCGGCTCCCGTAACCGTTGCAGTCTTATGTCCCTTCACCCAGGTGGGCAAGCGCAGAGGCGGGAACAAGCTAGCCCTCAAGACGGGAATAGTAGCCAAGAAGCAGAAGACGGAGGATGAGGTGAGGGGCGCGACCCCGGGGGAGTGGGGGGTACAGCTGGGGAAGGCAGACATTCTTACCCTTAAACCCCAGACCTTCGGGGGGCGGGGGGGGGAGAGGGGCGGTTGGCGGGGGTGACGCTGGGACTGGGTCAGTATCCGGGATGGGGGACAGCTCTGACCTGCTCGCTCTTCCCCCATCCCTCACCCCCGCCCCACCCCCTCCCCCTCTCCCTCCCCCAGGTATTAACAAGTAAAGGTGACGCGTGGGCCAAGTACATGGCAGAAGTGAAAAAGTACAAGGCCCATCAGTGTGGCGACGACGACAAGACCCGGCCCCTGGTGAAATGACCCTGCCGCGCGGCCCCCGGGGACTCTGCCATGTACGGACTATTGTAACGCGGCGGCAGCGGTGGCGGCCTCCCCTCTCCCAGCCCAGGACTCACACGGGGACACCTAGGAGCAGCAGCAGCCCCCCGCAGCCGCGGACCAGGCGCCTGGATATATTTTTTTTTCTTTTTTTTTTTTTTTTTTTTTTTTTTTACCTTGAGCACTTGGCCTCTTAAAGACATGGTAGAACAGTGGTCTACTGTACCCCCCTCCCCACCTCCTCCTCCTCCTCCTCCTCGCTGTCTCTCTTCTTTCTTCCCAGACTTACCCCTCCCTTCCCTTCCCACCCAACCAGCCCCCCACCCCACCCGCCTCTGCCCCTCAGCCATCACTTCTGGGAAGTAAAGAACTTGACTTAGTGCCGGAGTGGTTGGTGTTCCGGGGGGTTGGGGGGGGTGTCTGTCTGCTCCGCGCCCACCCAGTCGAAAGCCCTTGGCCGTGAGCGAAGGGGGTGGGCGGGGGGTCAGGAATGATGGAGTGGGAGGTTCAGGAGCTGCAGCCTCGTGGAGGCTTGCCCCGTGTGGGACCTAGTGGTTCTTCGAGCACCTGTGAGTGAGTGCCTGTGCCTGCTGTTGATAAAGATTGTTCTGAGGCCCCGGGAGGCCAACAGGGCACCGGACGGGCCGCAGCTACCCTCCCTGGGCAGCAGGACACGGGACCAGGCAGAGGAGGAAACGGCCGGAATAGCGACAGCTAACAAGCCCGGGATAGGGATAACCGCTTTATTAAAATTACATCCATCCCAAAGGCAGAGTTTTAAGACCAAGATGTTCTTATCTGCTGTTTTATTTCGTGCCCCAAGTGGGCCCCCAGCAGCTAGCGAAGCCTGGAGCCTAGATCTTCCTTCTGGGGCTTCCGCGTGAGCAGCAGGCATGCTAGCACGTCAGCCGCCCGGGCTCTCCTGCACGGGACGCAGTGAGGGCACACCCGGCTTAACCGCCAAGCCACAACCTGGTCCCCACGGCAGGCAGGGAGCTGAGGAAGCAGGTCCCCAGGTGGTTCTGCGTGTCCCTTGGGCCAGATGGGGGAGAACAGGAGAGGTGTCTGCCTGTGGAGGGTGGGGGGGGGTCCCCTGGCCGCCTCCTGTCCCCCCCAGGTGCAGTGTGTGTGGGGGGGGGGATGCAGGATGCCCTTTGTAACAGAGGTCGGGTTGCCGGTGACGTAGTCTGGGTGGGCGCTGGGGGTGAGCTATGCCAAGGGGACACAGAGGATGCCAGGCAGCCAAGGATGACCGACCGCCGGAGAGGGTGATGACATAAGGGGTGGGGTAGGGCAGGTGCTTGGGGGCACATCCCAGGCTGCCGAAGGGAGCACCTGCCCACACGCCCACCCTGTCCCTCCTGGGTGGGGGGTGGCTGCTGAGCCGGCCCAGGCGTGGGGGAACGGGCCGCGAACTCGTCCTCTTTCCCCTTCCAAAGCCAGCAGCAACCGCTGGATCTTTTAAAAAGGAAGCCAGGGAAGTAGGTCGCCCGTGCCACCCAGCTCGGTCAGAGGAGTCGGAGGGCCGGGCGCCTCCTTGCGCGCAGCCCTTCAGCCTGCCCCGACCTGGGAAATGTTGAAAGAAGGAGGTGGGGAGGGAATTGAAGGTTCGGTGAGTCAAACAGCACAGGCTTGGCGCTATTTTGGTGCCTGCTTGCCGTGTGATCTGGGGTAAAGCCATTTAGACTCTCTGTGGTTCCGGCTCCTTTGACACTTTTACAGCTGGAGCTAACTTCGAGCAAGTTCAGAGGCAAGGACCCTGTCGTCCCACCGCCAACTCGAACCTGCTCTGGGGCGGGAAGTGAAATGACAGCTCATTTTGGTTTTCATTCTCGGTTGAGCACTTGGTACTTCTTACTGGAAGTAAGAGCTGTTGGAAACGGCATAATATTTGGGGAAAAAAAAAAAGCTGCAGAGGCAATAGATGAGGGTGGGGTGGGCACTGTCCACCTGAGGCAGCTCTCCCGGCTAAGGCGGAGGACAGGGGGAAGCCGAGGAAGATGGCCCACACGTGGGACGCCTGCACGAAGCCCAGCTCCGGCCATTGTGGCCGCGTGTGGAGGGAAGGAGGGCCCTGCAGCAGCGGGCAGCAGCCCAGGCGGGCCCCCTCCACCAGGGACAGCTGGCTTTGTGGGACACCCAGGACGGTGGGACCAGAGACGCCCCTCGCCCTACCACCCACACCCGCCCGCCAGTCACAACACAAAGCGCGGCCTCGGGGCGCACATGTTTCAGGCCGGGCAGGGTGGTGCTGGGTGCCCCGCACCCTGGGGACCCTCCTCGGAAGGCAGGGTGGTGGGGACCCTCCTCGAGGGGCAGGGTGGTGCTGGGTGTCCCGCACCCTGGGGACCCTCCTCGGGCTGGGGTGGTGCCGGGTGCGCCGCACCCTGGGGACCCTCCTCGAGGGGCAGGGTGGTGGGGACCCTCCTCGAGGGGCAGGGTGGTGCTGGGTGTCCCGCACCCTGGGGACCCTCCTCGGGCTGGGGTGGTGCCGGGTGCGCCGCACCCTGGGGACCCTCCTCGGAAGGCAGGGTGGTGGGGACCCTCCTCGAGGGGCAGGGTGGTGCTGGGTGCCCCGCATCCTGGGGACCCTCCTCGGGGCAGGGTGGTGCTGGGTGCCCTGCACCCTGGGGACCCTCCTCGGGGCAGAGTGTGCTGGGTGTCCCGCACCCTGGGGACCCTCCTCGGGGCAGAGTGTGCTGGGTGTCCCGCACCCTGGGGACCCTCCTCGGGGGGCAGGGTGGTGCTGGGTGCCCTGCACCCTGGGGACCCTCCTCGGGCCGGGGTGGTCCTGGGTGCCCCGCACCCTGGGGACCCTCCTAGGGACTTAACACGGCCTGCAAGCTGTCAGTGCTTGCTTCCCGGGAACGAACGAGCGCACAGCCGGGAAGGAGCGAGTGTGCTCCCCCGGGGAGGGGGACCAAGGAGGAGCTCGGGACCCCTGCCCTCCGCACGGTGCGGGGCGCGCCTGGTCAATGTTGGCTGGCCACGGTGCACGGCCTCCGGCCACGGCCCAGGGAACGTTTCGCTCCAAGGCGCGGCCCACGCGGCTCCGGCCCCGAGAGCGGCGGGCAGAGGCGGCTGGAGCGCGGCTCCTCCTGCTCCTGCTCCTCGTCGTCCTCCACGCGCGCCATCACGGAGCGTTTGCGGCTCCCGCCAAAGGGCCGGCGTGGACAACCGGGAGCCACCGAGACGCGTGGAGGACCGCCGGGACAGAGAGGCCCGCCCCGCGCCGCGGGCTGTGTCACGTGACAGGCGCTCGGCTGGGCCGAGTGTCCGCGGGGGAGGGGGAGGGAGCAGGTCACGTGCGGCGGCTGCATCTCTCCGATTGGCTGCGTCGGGCCAGTTTGAACGGCGTACGGAGGCCGCGCCGGCTCAGTTGCGGCCGCGTTTTTTCTCTCGCTCTCTCGCTCCCTTTTTCTCTCTTTTTTTTTTTTCCCTTTTCTTTTCTTTTTTTTTTTGGAGTCCGTCGGTGCGGCTTCCTCTTTGCGCGCGCGCGCGCGGGGCTCGGGGCCGCCCGCCCGCCCGCCGTGCTTGGCTTCCCGGGTGAGTGGGGCCTGGCACACTCCGGGGAGCGCGGCCACGCTGGGCCGCGGCCTGCCGTGCGTGTGTGTGTGTGTGTGTGTGTGTGTGTGGGTAGCCGGGCGGACTCCGGGCCTAAGCGCCTCCGTCGCCTCCGCCGCCCTCCCTCCTCCATCCCCGAGCCTCCGGGAACCGCGCCTCACTGACCGGGAGAGAGGCCGGGGGAACGGCCGGGGAGGGGGAGGGGGCGGCGGCAGAGCCGAGCCGGGCCGAGCCGGGCCGAGCCGAGCCGAGCCGAGCCGAGCCGGGCCGGGGGTCGTCGTCGTGGGGGGACGCCGCGAGGACCGGGTGTGTGTCGGCTGGGGATGGGGACCCCGCCACAAGTTGGGGTGTGTGTGTGGAGAAAGAGGGGCGTCCTGGAGGACGGCCTGGCCTGGCCTGGCTTGGGGAAAGGCGACGCGGCGGCGCTCGGGGGGCGCTCGGGGGTCCGTTGACGAGGGGAATGTTCGCTCAGGCCTCGCCCGGGGGGTGATGGTGGTGGGTGCGGGGGACGCTGCGGGACCCAAGGGGGGGGTGGGCTGGCCGCACTGGGATTGGAGACAGCGGGAGTTGCTGCTGCTGCTGCTGCTGCTGCTGCTGCTGAGCTGGAAGCCGGTGGTCCAGGGGGGCTCCTCCTGGTCCAGATCCATCTATCCAAGGGGGGCTGGGAAGGGTCGGATAAGCGGGAGGAGAGCGGCAGCAATCCAGGGGGGGGGGCTCCTGGTCCAGATCCGTCTATCCAAGGGGGGCTGGGAAGGGTCGGATAAGCGGGAGGCGGCGGCAGCAGCAGCAGCAGCGAGCAGGGCGCTTTTGGGGCCTTGCACTTTGCTGGAGCAAGTGGTGGTGCTGGTAGCTGGAGGGGTGCTGCTGGGGGTCGCAGCTCAGGGCGGCTGGGGAAAGGGAAAAAGTGTGTGTGTCTGTGTTTGGGGGCACATCTTGAGATAGACTGGCGCCTGCATTGGGGAGACGACCACGGGGGCCGGGGCGCTCACGCCGTCTGGGGCGGGGTCCCTGGACGTGGAGGCGGCTGGGTCTTCGCCCGGAGAGGGAGGGGGAGCCCTGGGCGCCGGCGGCAGCAGCCGGGGGTGGCGGCGGCAGCAGCAGCTGCAGCAGCGGCAGCGGCATGGGCCGCCTTGGGATCCGAGCTGCACGCTGGGCCCCATGAGGACCCGCCGGGCCCCGCCGCCCCTAGGCCGCTTCCACATCTCCCCAGCTGCGCTCCCGAGCCTCCCGAGGCTGCGAGGCCGAGGTTGGCGCAGCTGGCGGGGGGGACCCCGCACATGGGCGGGCGTGGATCGGCGCCCCCCGCCTGTCCGCCGAGGGCGCGCTCACCGTCATGCGGCCGCTTCTGCAGCAGCCACCTCCCCTACCATCACCACCACCACCACCACCACCACGGGGTCTCCAGCCGGGTCTCTCACGGAGCCCCAGAAACGCAGCGTTGACCCTGGCCCCTACCCCCGCAGCTCGCCTCGCGCCATGGACTGGCAGCCGGACGAGCAGGGCCTGCAACAGGTCCTACAGCTGCTCAAAGACTCGCAGTCGCCCAACACGGCCACGCAACGCATTGTGCAGGATGTATCCTTCCGTCCTAACTTCCGGGGCTGGGGGACCCGTGCCTGGGCCCCCGCAGCCCGCCAGCTTGCCCTCCCTCCCACCCGAGGGCCCCAGGTTTGGGGCCCCCGTGCCGGGGCCCAGAGCTGGTGGGGTTACCGTGAAGGCCTTGAAAGGCAGCTGAAGGGGTGCTGTGCTTCCAACTGGATGAGGGCAAGCAAGGGACTGCGCCTCGACCCATTCTGCAGTTGGGGAAACTGAGGCT